TTAAGCATAAAAAGACAATTATTAAGTAACAGGTTAGGCACAAACAGGGTTAGACTCAGAACAAAATCAATTGCCATAGGATAAAATAACACATAAAACTTTTTAATCTCAAAAAGCAGAAGTACAAGATAAATAATATTAGATATTACATATAATACTTAAGTAGTCTGCCCTGAATATTCCATCACATTTCCAACATTAGATTAGGACTTTTTTTTTAATTAGCTGACTTACTTTATTTTTTTTTTCATTTATTTTTATTAGTTGGAGGCTAATTACTTTACAATATTGTAGTGGGTTTTGTCATACATTGACATGAACCAGCCATGGAGGGTGGGATGTTTCGAGAGAACAGCATCAAAACATGTATATTATCTATGGTGAAACAGACTTTTTTTTTTTAACCACCAGTATATTATGTATATTTCTATTCTTAGTTGATACGCTCACTTTGATCCCATCAACTCTCATGGTGGGTGAAGTTGATTGCTCTGAAATCTGGAGTTTTATTTTATTGTCCTCTGCTCAGGATCCAACAGTTTAGTGGACATCTCTCTTTGGTTTCTTCAACAAACAGCTCCAGCCAACTATGTCCCAGAAATTCTCTTTTTTAATATTTCCTAGACACCCATGATGGAGACTTGGATTTAATCTGAAATTGTTTCAATATGCTCAATAACTGCTTCATAAACTCCTGTGTTTTCCACTCTATACCTATTGCAAATAGTTTCTTGGTTCAAGTCACCATGATTCTTTGATGACTTAGTGCTATATACAAGATTGAAATTTGTTGTGGAATGTGACCGCCTAGATGTTTCATTTGAGTGGTTAGAGGATGTCTTTAAAGTCTGATGGTAATTTGAAAAAGTTGCCACAAGATGGTGTTTTCTTCTTTTTAGTTTATTAATTACAGACATGCGAAGCCTTTAAGCCATGCAAGATAGGTATGATACATGAATTACATTTTCATCATAGAAAAATCGGCGCTTCCGAGGTGTCGCTAGTGGTAAAGAATCCAGCTGCCGGGGCGGGTGACACGAGAGACCGCAGGTTTGATCCCCAGGTCAGTTAGATCCCTTGGGCTAGGAAATGGCAACCCACTCCAGTACTCTTGCCTGGAAAATTCCACAGACAGAGGATCCTGGCAGACCAGAGTCCAGAGGGCCACAGGGCGTCAGACATGACGGAGCACGCACAGCACGTAGCACGCATGCGTTGACGGACTGACGTTATGAAGTAGTCAATACAAACTAGGGAAGACTGCACCAATGCAAGTAAAATAATGAAAGTACGAGGTGCTGGTGCTGATGTTGTTGCCCAGTCGTGCCCGACTCTTTGCGACCCCGTGGGCTGCAGCACATCAAGCTTCCCTGTGACTCACCATCTCCCAAAGTTTGCCCAAGTTCGTGACATTGCACTGGTGATGCCATCCAAACATCCCATCCTCTGATGCCCTCTTCTCCTTCTGCCCTCAGTCTTTCCCAGCATCTGGGACTTTCCCAATGAGTTAGCTGTTCACACCAGATGACCAAAATACTGGAACTTCGGCTTCAGCATCAGGATACGGTACCCTGGTTTAAATCACCGTTTTCAAAGGTTTATAAGCAATCGTGAATGGTGGGCAATACCATCATCCACCTACTCTGTTAACCTTCAAAGAGATTCTACACTCTAATAAGGGAAACCTTATTGTTGAGAGTAAGACAATAATTTTACCTTAAGGGGGAAAGCAGCATGGAGATGATAAATAAGATTAGTTTTCTAGTTTTCAAACTTTTCACTATCTTGCATTCCATAAGTCCCTGGGTCTTTTGTATTCAATATTCTTTTCCTCTATATTATAAGCTTCTTATTTCCCAGGTCAACAGTTTCTGTAAAAAAGGCTTATGACTCTCCAGCCCAAAGCTGTGTGTGAACTATTCTTTCCAGAGCCACATATACATTAATATAAACCAATTTACTTTTCGACATTCAACAGTTTCTCTTTACAGCTTCAGATATCCTTATTTCTATAAAAGTCAAAATATGAATCTTGAGTCTTTTATTACATCCTCTTTCTCATTCTGTCTGTATACACACATCCATCCAAAAAGATGTCACATGTATGTTATTCTACTCTAATTGTTTACTGGAGTTATTCCTTTGTCTTTAGTGACTTTAGGGCCTCTTTCCTCAGCTTCTAGCTCCAGAAGTCACTTTACATATATAAACGCTCACATTCTTCTCACAGAAAGGCAACACACACATAAATGCACATGATCTTTTGTTTTTTAAAATATCAACCCAATATATACCTGACTAGAGATGTCTTCAAGAAAATTAGAGATACCAAGGGTATATTTCATGCAAAGGTGCACACAATAAAGAACAGAAACAGTATGAACCTAACAGAAGCAGAAGATATTAAGAAGAGGTGGCAAGAATACATGAAGAACTATGCAAAAAAGAATTTAATGACTCAGTAACCACGATGGTGTGATCACTCACCTAGAGCCAGACATCCTGGAATGTGAAGTCAAGTGGACCTTAGGAAGCACCATTATGAACAAAGCTAGTGGAAGTGATGGAATTTGAGCTGAGCTATTTCAACTCCTAAAAGATGATGCTGTTAAAGTGCTGTATTCAATATGCCAGCAAATTTGAAAAACTCAGCGGTGGCCACAGGACTGGAAAAGGTCAGTTTTCATTCCAGTCCCAAAGAAGGGCAATCCCAAAGAATTCTCAAACTACCACACAATTGCACTCATTCCACATGCCAGTGAGGTCATGCAAAAATCCTCTAAGCTAGGCTTTAACAGTACAGGAATCAAGAACTTCCAGATGTTCAGGCTGGATTTAGAAAAGGCAGAGGAACCAGAGATCAAATTGCCAACATTTTTTTCAATCATAGAAAAAAGAGGGAATTCCAGAAAAACATCTACTTCCACTTCATTGACTATGCTGAAAACTTTGACTGTGTGGATCACAATAAACTGTGGTAAATTCATAAGGACATAGCAATAACAAACCACCTTACCTGCCTCCTGAGAAACCTGTATGCAGATCAAGAAACAACAGTTAGAAACAGACATGGAACAACAGACTGGTTCAGAATTGGGAAAGGAGTACATCAAGCCTGTATATTGTTGTCCTGCTTATTTAACTTGTATGCAGAGTACATCATACGAAATGCCAGGCTGGATGAAGCACAATCTGGAATCAAGACTGATGGGAGAAATATCAATAACCTCAGATATGCAGATGACTCCACTCTTATGGCAGAAAGTGAAGAGGAACTAAAGAGCTTCTTGATGAAGGTGAAATGGCAAAATGAAAAAGCTGGCTTAAAACTCAGCATTTAATAAACAAAGATCATGGAATCCAGTCCCATCACTTCATGCAAACAGATGGGGAAATAATGGAAAAAGTGACAGACTTTATTTTCTAGGGCTACAAAATCACTGCAGATGGTGACTGCAGCCATGAAATTAAATGTTTGCTCCTTGAAAGAAAAGGTATGACCAACCTAAACAACATATTAAAAAGCAGGGACATTACTTTGCCAATTAAGATCCAATTAGCCAAAGTTATAGTTTTTCCAGTAGTCATGTACAGATGTGAGAGTTGGACTACAAAGAAAGCTGAGCACTGAAGAATTGATGCTTTTGAACTGTGGTGTTCGAGAAGACTCAAGAGTCCCTTGGACTGCAAGGAGATCAAGCCAGTCAATCCTAAAGGAAATCAACCCTGAATATTTATTGGAAAGACTGATGCTGAAGCTGAAGCTTCAATACTTTGCTCACCTGATGCAAAGAACCAACTCACTGGAAAAAAAACACTCATGCTGGGAAAGATTGAAGGCTGGAGGAGAAGGGGATGACAGAGGATGAGATGATTGGATGGTATCATTTACCCAATGGATATGAGCTTGAGGAATCTCCAGGAGATAGTGAAAAACAAGGAAGCCTGACATGCTGCAGCCCATGGGGTTGCATAGAGTCGGACACAACTGAGTGACTGAAAAACAACATGGTATTATGTGGATGTTCTATAATTAAATTTTTTCCCTATAATGGCCATTTATGCTATCTCAAACTTTTCTCTGTTGCCAATAATGTTACAGAGAATATCCTTATAAGCATGTCTATTCAAGATTAATTTCCCTTTCTGAAATGGGATCTCATATTATCAACCATTTGGTTTTGTATTTTAAAAGTTTTAGTAGCTACTCTAAGTTATCCTTTAAAAATGATTTATGAATTTGCACTATCACCAACCTGAGGAATTGCCCATTTTTACTTACATTTAGCAGCAAAGATATTATTATTTCTTTAGTATTTCCTGAATTTAACATAGACTGCTGTTTTTTAAAATTTGCATTTATATGCATATTTAGTGAGAATCATAAACTCATTATATTTCTTGGCCATTTTTATACTTCTACCTTGAATATTTTATATCTTTGCCTATTTTTCAGTTGATTATTAAAATTTATCATCCTGTTTATTTGTAAGGGACTTAATATAATACATGTATGTGTGTATATTTATAGCTTCTATTGTTACAATTTCAACTCTCTACCAGTGTTTTAAACTTATCAAAAATTATTCATATTTCTGATTGAATATACTTTTTGATTCTCATATTTCTGAATTTCTACTATAAACGTGTGAAATTTTTGCTCAGGAAAAGAAATCATAAATACTGCTTAAAAATATACTACTAGTAGAGCTCAAGGGGTGGGAGGATGATAAAAATTGGAGTGCTATCAGTCTTGATCTTAAGTTGTAAACCACCTTTTTTTCCTTCCTCGTCCTGCATTAGATCTCTGGCACTTGAACCCACAGGGAAAGTCGGTAGTATTGCAAGAGAAGCCAGTGAGAAAAAGAACAAGAGTTCTTTATCGTACCTACTCAGATTGGTTAGTGCCTGTGCTATACCAATTGTCAAACATTTTAAATGTCACTTCTCCCAATGCCAAGCGTAAACTTTATTTAAGGTCTCTTCTTTTCCACTTGTAGATCAAATTCTACTCTTGCCTCCTCCTCCCCTTACGGTGGCTCGATGGTAAGTAAAACTTACACAGCTTCCGAAACCCACTGAATACAATCATGCATCTTTCTCATGATGTTCACACAAGTGTGAGTAAAGGAAAGGTGTAACTAATATTTGCATTAGAGAAAAACAGAACTGAAACAAAACTAAGATGTTTCTCACCCTGTATAATACTATTCAATGTCAAGTGTTGGAACCAGGACTTGAACTTAGTTTTTCTGATGACACCCATCTATCAGTATGGCTTCTCTGTTGAACTGAGCAGTTTTCCCCCAAACAACCCCTGACCTTCAGCAACCTCCTGTATTTTCTGGTACTTTGCTCTGTTTGGAATCCTCTCTTACTAGGATTGGGCTTCCCCAGTGGCTCAGTGTGAATACTTCTGCAGGGCAGGAGACGCAGGAGATGGGAGTTCGATCCCTGGGTCAGAAAGATCCCCTGGAGGAGGACATGGCAACCCACTCCAGTATTCTTCCGGGGAAAATCTGATGGACAGAGGAACCTGGCGAGCTATGGTCTGTGGGTTTGCAAAGAGCTGGACAGGACTGAGGCAACTGAGCACGCACACACCTACTAAGATTGCCACATACACCAAACAGAAATACAAAACGCCAGTTACATTTCAATTTCAGATAAACGAATTTTTTAAATCATAGGTATGGCCCATATATCATATAAGCCGCGTTACTGTTAACTGCTAATTCATGTCCACTTTTGTGACACCGTGGACTGTAGCTGCCAGACTCCTCTGTCCGTGGGATTTTGCTTGTGCAAAAATAATACTTACTGGTTTCTGAAATGTTGCTTTAACTCAGAGGCCTGTATTTTATCTGGCAACTCAATCTCCACTCCTGTTTGTTCTCATAATCTTAGCCATTCTTTAACAAAATGGATTCTTCCTCCTTGAAATGTTCCCTGATCTTCCAAACTAAACTAATCACTTTTCTTGTGTCTTATTAAATTCTACCTCATATCACAGTTCTGTGGCTTCTCGTTCCTTTCTACTAGGTTACAATGACTTTGACAGACACAGGTTATTCATCCTGTAACAACCCCAAACAGCTAACACTTTGCACAGAGTAAATGTTCAAAAGACTTCACTAGCTTGAGTTAGTATATGCTAATCTCTAGCCATCATTTCAATTTATCTGTATGTATGACCTATGACAATATACACTGCTAAGGAAAAGAACTGCTTGTAGATGTTAAAAGATAATTTGTCTGAAATATATTAAATTTTTAAGATATCTGTATATTAGGGGTATCTGTACTTCAAGGAAAATGATTTTTAATATCACTATATTTTATATTTGAGTGTTTTATCTATTTTCTAGTTTATATATGTACTTAACTTTCTATCTCTTTAGTTATCTTCCATTTATATAAAAGTTGAAAGAAACTGAAAGTTGCTCAGTCATGTCCGACTCTTTGCAACCCCATGGACTATACAGTCCATGGAATTCTCCAGGTCAGAATACTCAAGTGGGTGGCCTATCCCTTCTCCAGGGGATCTTCCTGACCCAGGAATCAAACTGGGGCCTCCTGCATTGCAGGAAGATCTTTACCAGCTGAGCTATCAGGGAAGCCTATTTAAAAGCTAAAAGATATTAAACAAAATTTGTTCTAAATAGAGTTGCACATGAAATTAGTAATTCTTTTGGATACATAGATGCAGAAAGCAAAACAATGTCACTGAGATTCAACTTCCCTCTGTGACTAACCTAACTCAGTGCCAATTAATCCAGTTATCTCCAGGTACAAAGGGCAGATTTGAGGACTGTCCACAGAATTCTGACCCAGATGATGCACTGATGGTGTTAAATGCATCTTGGAAAAGAACAACAGCATGTTTATGCTAGGTTAAAAATACAAACACCAGTCAGAATTTTCAGCACGGACAAGTACAAATAACAAATGCCGGAGAGGGTATGGAGGAAAAGGAATCCTCTTGCACAATCGGTGAGAAAGTAAATTGGTGTAGCCACTATGGAAAACAGAATGGTATTTCCTTAAAAACTAGAGTTGCCATTTGATCCAGCAATCCCATTCCTGGGCATTTACCCCAATAAAACTATAAATCAGAAAGATACACACACCATATGTTCATAGCAGCACTACTTGCAATAAATAGCCAAGACAAGGAAACAGCCTAAATGTCCATCAACAGACAAATGGATTAAGATGTGGTACATATATGTACATACATATACAAATGGAATACTACTCAGCCATGAGAAAGAATGGAATATTTAAAATACAATACAAATGAACATATCTATGAAGCAGAAATAGACTCACAGATATAAAGGAGAGACTACTGGTTGTCAAGGGTGAGGAAGTGGTGGTGAAGGAGGGATGAATTGGGAGTTTGGGATTAGCAGATGTAAACTATCACTTATCGAATGCATAAACAAGATCCCACCGTATAGCACAGGGAAATATATTCAATATTCTCTGATAAACCATAATGAAAAAGATGAAAAACTATACATATATATGGTATATATATGTGTGTGTGTCTGTGTGTATGTGTATATATTACTGAATCACTTTACTGTACATCAGAAGTGAACACAACTTTGTAAATTAATTATACTTCATTAAAATAAATCTATTTGTTAGAAAAACATTTTTCCTTCTGTTACTGGCTTTGTGAAAGTGTCAGTCACTCAGTCGTGTCTGACTCTTTGTGACCCCAGGGACTGCAGCCCACCAGGCTCCTCTGTCCATGGGATTCTCCAGGCAAGAATACTGGGGTGGGATGCCATTCCTTTCTTCAGGTTTCTGACCCAGGGACTGAACCTGGGCCTTCTGCATTGCAGGCCGATTCTATACCATCTGAGCCACCAGGATCACTATGTAAACGTGTCAATTCACTCAGTAGAAGTGTCTTTTCTGAGGTCAGCAAGTCAGTTTAGAGTTCAGTTGACCTGTTAGGAGTTAAGCTTTTTTTTTTTTTTTTTTTTGCCCTTCTTTCTGTGACATCCTTTATTCCAGGACCTGCCTCACACAGTATTATAAACATGTAGCTTAACTGTTCTAGGCTGAGAGTCTATTCATTAGTGTCAGACCTAACTCATTAAACTCTTCCTCCTGCTGGAGACTTTTCTGTTACAGGTTTACAGGGTGGCTGTTCTGTAGAGTTTAGCAACCCAATTTTATTTAAACCCAATAAAATTAGTGTTTGTTTCCAAATTTTGGTTATGAGTTTAGCCTAGGCTGTATGGGTAAGTTGAGTAAGTAAAGTATGTAGTTTTTTAAAAAGCTAAATCTATTTGTATAAATCATGTTCATATTTTAAGAACATATTGACCATGTCAGTTAAATTTTTTAAAGGATATACACAAGGGTTTCTAGATGAAAATATATTTTAATGAAGTGAAATTCTCTTTATTTTGTATTGTGTTTTCACAGAATGGATACCGGGTAGGCACAGCAAAAAAAGCTTTCCAGTGTTCTTATAAAAAATGTGTCAGCCGTGCCGTGTACAGAACACCTCTATGGGTGAGATGATAGTTCAGTGAGGATGTTGACTCAGGCTGCAGTGCTGACAGAGACTGCCAACAAGGGTACCATTTGCCAGCTGGCACCCATTCCTGTGGCTTTTCCCCTCATGATAATTGCTTATCAACTGAGAATTTCATTTATCCGTTGGCACTATAAATTTAAGTTTAGGTTTTGAGGCAAGCTCTGATACCTCCAGAATTTTTGTCAATAAAATTATTTGAGATTTTTGATTAGACTGGTGTTTGAAAACATGGCATTGTTGGCTGATTTTGTTCCTCTTCACTGCACTAATTGTTTATAAAAATTGCACTCTATAAGCTTTCTGAGGAAACAAGTGCTTTAATGAGCACACCATTCTAAAAATTGAGGATAATTTAAGGGACATAAGAGCCCAGGCGTTAGAAATTTGTCTCCAATTATTTTAAACCTATCATCCAGTGATCATTATCTCACAAATGTATCGTAGGCAAACTTCAGAAAGGTTATGATTCTATGTCTACCCAAGGGTGACTCAATGACCTGCTGGAGGAAGAGCAGGAAACTGGCTTATCCTTCTGCCCCCTCTGATCAACACAAAATGCCCTGTAAGGAGTTCTGCTACTGTAGGTAACACATAAGAGGAGGGGGCGGAGGAGAGACCCCTGCTCAGCTCCAGGGTCCTGCACTAAGAGGAGGCAGAATCCTGCCATCACCGTGCAGAGTCAGGATGCTGAGAGCGCTCCACCTCGGAGGCCCTGGTGGAAAAGGTCTACCAGGCAGAGAGCAAGAGAACTAAGACACTCCCCTACGAAGAGCGGAAGAGGAACGGGAGAGAGGCTTCTTCTGCGGCAAAGACACATAGAAGTTGTTGGGCAGTAACTGAAGTGCCAAGAAATCCCCCTCAACACCCCAGGCCTTACATTCTGCACACGGTATTAGCTGCCTACAACCAAAGAAGCGTGCAGCCTCTGGTGCCCTGATGATAACTGGGGCAACCAAACGCCACCCTCAGCTCAACTTCAGCACTGACCCTCCCCTCATGGCCAGAAAAGAGCAGAGGTGTGCACATTTTTAGGTGCAAATCCTACTTACCTCAGCCTTTGTGTTCTGTGACTTATAATATCTAGCAGTCTGTCAAGAATTACGAGACATTCACAGCAATGCAGCACAGAAGTATAACCCACAGCAAGGAGGGATAAACAGCAAAACAGGATAAACAGAAACAAACCAAAATACTGAAGATAGGAGAGATTTTAGCATAACTACATTTAATATACTGAATTATGTAGGGTACAAGGTGAAAAACATGCATCAACAGGTGGGAAATTTAAGCAGAGATGGAAATGTTAATAAAGAATCAAACAGACGAGATTGGATCAAGACGGCAGGATACCAAGACATGGAGCTCATCTTCCCCCACAGACACATCTAAAACACACATACGTGTGGAACAATTCCCACCGTTGTTGGAACAATTCCAACAGTTCCCACAACTGTGGAACAATTCCAGTTAGAAAAACTAACTGGAAACTGGCAGAAGAATTCTTATACACCCAAACCTGCGGGAAAAATTTCCGCATAAGCAGGCAGCACAGAAAAAGGCACAGGGCTGGGACCGCCAGCCCAGGTGAGGAAGAGAAGGTCTGCACAGGCGAACCCTCACCCCGGGAGTGAGCAGGCTGCGATGCAGGCTGACGTGCCGGTCCTGGGATCCTTCACAGAGGACGAGCCTGCTCGGCTGCCTGGGGAACTGTAGGGCTATGGAACGGCTGGAGAAGTCTAGCGCCTACTCACAGAGAGTGTGCAGGTGCTGGCTTGCCACCAGAGTAGAGAGCCCTGCGTTAGTGGTGGTGGCCTCACTGCAGTCCCCGATCCAGCTGGCAAACCCCCAGCTCCGTTCTCGCCGCCCCACAGGGTGGCGTAGGCTCTGGTCTCAGCAGACACAGCCTAGGAGGCTGGGATGTAGCTGGGTGGTGGTGGCCGCGGTGAGCACTTACGCCGTTCCAGGGGCTAGCATACCTGGGTCCTCAGTTCAGGCCCCAGCTCCCCGCCAAGGGAATTCTCCAGCCCACTCACTCCTTACCACAACCTAACGCAGGGTCTGGGGCAGAGAGGTCCGGGAGAACCTGCCGTCGAGGCGGCCCAGATCCAGCTTAGCGGATGCGCTGGCCCATCCCCTCCACGCCACGGCCTTGCGCCAGATCTGACACAGCTCAGCTGGGGAAGGGACAGGACCTCGGGCTGCATCTGAGCAGAGCTGTGGACGTCGACGCAGGAGGCCCTTCAGTCCGCTTTCAGCTCGCTGGCCTAGCTTGCTGCAGCAGACCCTTCCTCTGGGGCGAAGCATACACTCAAGGGAAACGGAGCCTGATCGGATCTGACCTTCAGGCTTCAGCTACAGCAACTCGGGGGCAGACGTGACCCTGAAAGGGCAGCAGAACCCACAGAGCAGAAGGGAGTCTTGTCCCATACTCTGCACAGGCTTAGATACTCCCGCACCAACTACGCCTCCAATCAAGATGAGCGTGCCAGCATACCTTTAGGAAAGATTCAGCTGAAGATGATACCAAAACCAAGCAAGCACACTGATATAAATGAGGATGGCTGTAACAAGGAACTAGAAGCTACAAAAATAGAAGAGAAACCATCAAAAATACATAATGCCATTTCTGAGATTAAAAAGCCCCCAAACAGAAATGAATAGCTTACTAAATGACAAAGAAGAATGAATATACAATCTGGAAGATACAGTAATGTAAATCATCCACCAGAACAGCAAAAAAAAAAAAAAAAAAGAGACAAATGGAAAAAGAAACGAAAGCAACATACAAGATCTGTGAGATAAAACACGTAAACCTATGCATAATAGATTCACTTCTTCCACAGGGAGAAGTGAGACAGAAGGGGATCAAAAAGGAAAAGGTATTGAAGAAATTAGGTCTGAAAAATTCCCAAATCTGAAGAAAGAAACAGATATTCAGGAGCAGGAAGCTCAGAGGGTCCCAGACAAGATGAACTCAAACAGACTCATAAAAAGACACATCACAATTAAAATGACAAGAGTTAAAGAGAGACTCCTAAGGGCAACAAGAGGAAAACAGAGTCAGTTGCAAGGGAATTTCCATAAATCTATCAGCCAATTTCTCTGCAGAAACTTTGCAGGTCAGAGGGCGTACCATGATATATTCAAAGTCCTGAAAGGGAAAAACTTACAACCTTAGGTAACTTATACAAGATTATCATTAAGAATAAAAGGATTGATAAAGAACTTCTCAGGCAAGAAAAGTTAAGGGATTCAGTAATACTACATTGACCCTAAAAGAAATATTCAAGGGTCTTCTCTAAATAGAAAAGAAGAAGGAATCTATAGGAATGGGAAAATCACAATAGGAAAGGGAAATATATAATAAGAATTGAAATTCATGTAAATAAGCCAGTATGTAGATTAAAAAGCAGACAAGAAAATTGTAAAAAGGATTATAGCAACAATAAACAGTAAAAGGATAAGCATGATGATGTAAAACAGGAGATCAAAGTCACAAAATGTGAGGAGTGGGAGGATAAAAATGTACATTAGTAAGAATGCATTTGAACTTGAATGACTGTCAGTTTAAAGCAAATAGATATGTTTATGGATCAACATATATGATCCCGTGGTAACCACAAATCAAAAACTAAATAGATTTACAAAAATCAAAAAGAAAAGATCTCAAGCATTACTACAAAAGAAAATCATCAAATCACAAAAGGGAAGGGAAATAAATGAAGAACTGTAAAAGCAATTTAAAAACATGGAATTAAACGGCAGTAAGAGCATATCTATCTATAATTACTTTAAACGTTAGTGGACTGAATGCTTCTATCAAAAGGCAGAGAGTGGTTGATTGGACTTAAAAAAAGAACCTGAAAAAAACCTCCCCTAAGGGATTTATTTCAAGGTGAAAAATATATACACGCTGAAAATGAGGGGATAGAAAAAGATATTTTAGACAAACGGAAATGACAAGAGAGGCGTATGTTAGAGCTCAGTCGTGTCTGCCTCCATGAAACTCCAGAGGCATGAATCCTCCAGACACAGATACTGGAGTGGGTCACCATTTCCTACCCCCGTGGATCTTACTGACCCAGGGATCAAACCCAAGTCTCCCACACTGCAGGCAGATTCTTTGCACTTGAGCCACCTGGGAAGTTCATACCAAATAGACTTTAAAACAAAGGCCATAAAGAAAGACAAATAAGGGCATTATATATAACATATATGATAAAAGGATTAATTCAGTAAGAGGCTATTATGCTTATTAACATATATGCACACAATACAGACACACCTAAATATATAAAGCAAATGCTAACAGATATAAAGGGAGAAATCAACAAGAATAGTAACAGACTTTACTCCTATGTCTTTGGATTGCAAGAGTTAGTATTGCTAAAATGGCCAAAATGGATAGCCAAAGCAATCTATAGATTTTAATTAAATCCTTAGCAAAATATCCCAAACATTTTTTCAGAAAATGAGAAAAATTATCTTAAAATTTATATGGAATCAGAAAAGACACAGAATTTCCAAAGCAATCTTGAGGAAAAAGAACAAAGCTGGAAGTATGACGTTGCCTGACTTAAAACTATTCTGCAAAACTAAAGCAATCAAAACAGCATGGAACTGGCAAAAAAAAAAAAAAAAACAGACACATAGATCTATCGAACAATATAGAGAGCCCAGGAATATACTCACACACCTATGGTCAGTTAACTTATAACAAAGAGACAAAAATAAAACACAGTGGAGAAACAACAGTCTCTTCAACAAGTAGTGTTGGGAAGGCTGGACAGCTGCATATAAAACAATGGAATTATAGCATTCCCTCACATTGCATATGCAAAAATAAACACTAAAAGGTTTAACTATCTACATGTTAGACATAATGCTATAAAACTCCTAGAACACAGGCAAAACATTTATTTGACATAAATCACAGAAACATTTTCTTAGATCAGTCTCCCAAGGCAAAAGAAATAAAAGCAAAAATAAAAATGGGACCTAATCAAAATTTAAAGCTTTTTCACAACAAAGGAAACCACCAAAAAAATGAAAAGACAATCTATACAATGGAAAAACTTATTTGCAAATGGTATATCATCTCTTTAAGAATTTTCCACATTTTGTTGTGATCCACACTGTCAAAGACTTTAGCATGGTCAATGAAGCAGAAGTAGATGATTTTCTGAAATTCTCTTGCTTTTTCTATGATCCAAGGAATGCTTGCAAATTGATCTCTGGTTCCTGTGCCTTTTCTAAATCCGCTTGTACATCTGGAACTTCTCAGTTCATTTACTGTTGAAGCCTAGCTTGAAGGATTTTGAGCAAAACTTTGGAGCATGTGAGTGCAATTGTGGAATAGTTTGAACATTCTCTGGCATTGCCCTTCTTTGAGATTAGAATGAAAACTGACCTTTTCCAGTCCTGTTGCCACTAATAAGCTTTCCAAATTTGCTGGCATATTGAATGCAACACATTAACCCAGCATCATCTTTTAGGGTTTGAAATAGCTCAGCTGGAACTCCATCACCTCCACTAGCTTTGTTCGTCGTGATGCTCCCTAAGTTTTCCTTGACTTCACACTCCAGGATATCTAGCTCTAGGTGAGTGATCACACCATCATAGTTATCTGCATCACTAAGCCATTTTTTGAATAGTTCTTCTGTGTGTTCTTGCCACCTCTTCTTAATATCTTATGCTTCTGCAGATGTTGACTACAACCATGAAATTAAAAGATGCTTGCTCCTTGGAAGAAAATCTAGACAGTTATGTCAAATCTAGATAGTATATTTAAAAGCATAATCATCACTTTGCCACCAAAGTGCACACAGTCCAAGCTGTGGCTTTCCAGTGGTCATGTATGGAAGTGAGAGCTGGACCATAAAGATAGCTGAGCGCCAAAGAATTAATGATTTTGAACTGTGGTGTTGGAGAAGACTCTTGAGAGTCCCTTGCATTGCAAGGAGATCAAATCAGTCAATCCTAAAGAAAATCAACTCTAGTATTCTTTGGAAAGACTGCTACTGAAGCTAAAGCTCCAATGCTTTGGCCACTTGATGTTAAGAGCCAACTATTTGGAAAAGACCCTGATGCTGGGAAAGATTGAGGGCAAGAGGAGAAGAGGGTAACAGAGGACGAGATGATTGGATGGCATCACTGACTCAATGCACATGAGTTTGAGTAAACTCTGGGAGGCAGTGAAGGACAGGGATGCCTGGCATGCTGCAGTCCATGGGGTCACAAAGAGTTGGACATGACTTAGTGACTGAACAACAAATCTCTCATGAACATAGATCAAATGAACAAATATATAACAAAATCTTCAACAAAAAAAGAATTAATAAATTTAATCTAATAATGTTTGAAGATAATTACACACCACACCAACTGAACTTTTCCCATTTATGCTAGGCTTGATCAACATGTAAAAAATAAGGTAATCCATCATATCAACTGGGTAGAAAAGAAAATTACATCACCTTATCAATAGATACAGCAAAGCATTTAACAAAATTCAATAGCCTTTTAAGATAAGAACTCTCAGAACCTAGGAATGGAAGGGGATTTTCTCAATTTGACAGCACTCTCTAGAAAAAATCTACAGCTAAACAACACAATTATTGGTGAGAAAGTCAAAGCTTTCCCTTTAAGATCAGGGACACATGTAAACATTCCTTCTCATAACTGCTTCTTACCATCTTGCTGGTAGTTCTAGCTAATGGGATAAGGTCAAAAGTCTCTCCTTGTGTTCAGTATATCCGACTCTACATCTAACTGCATGTTCAGATATGTGTCGGTAATTTGAAATTTTTCCCATGGTGGGAGTATTTACACCACAGAAATTAGTCAAGACTACAGTCTTGGTTCGGGCTTTCCAGGTGGCTCGGTGGTAAAGAATCCGCCTGCTAATGCAGGAGCCGCAGGAGACACGGGTTCAATCCCTGGATCAGGAAGATCCCATGGAGGAGGAAATGGCAACCCGCTCTAGTATTCTTGCCTGGGGAGTTCCAAGGACTGAAGGGCCTGGTGGAATACAGTCCATGGGGTCGCACAGAGTCAGACACAGCTGAGCAGTCAGATGTGGTCAGTTTCTTCTTTCTTTATTTCCTTCCCAGAGATCTGGATCATTAGTGTGTAATGATACACACTAATTGTTAGTAATTTTTTCAGAGTTATAGGATTGTGATTTTTTTTCTTTTAATTTTCCACTTTTCCATAGTGAGTATGCATCTCTCTTATAAAAAAACTTAAATAATGTTTAAAAATGCTTCTTTTTAAAGGAATATGAGGTACTCAGTTTAGTTATTCCTTCTAAAGACAACTCAAGTACCTGAAGGAATCATTGTAAACTGTCTTTAACAGGAAGAAAAACCATTTCTTC